CCAAAACATGCAGTTTTAAAAATCTAAAATAACTCATACACAAATAATTTTGATAATATTATAGGAATTAAGGTATTTCCAGTTTCATAGCAACAAATAAGAACTTCTTATTTTGTGTCTAAATATTATTTATCGGTAATATATTGCAGTTTTCGAAAACTTTATTATTTGACTTCATCGTTAGTACAAAGTAAAATTTTATCGGTACTGATGCGCCGATATTTATAAGTTTTTAATGCAAAAAAGAAAAGAACAATTTTATTTTATTTTCAAGAATGGTTACATAAATACCTATAAGATGTCCATAGCAACTTCCAAGGAAAGCTACGAATAGGGTTACAGCGACTAACGAAACCTTCATATTTAACAATGATTATCCTCGTGTCAAATCTAATTACAGGTTGACTTCTACACGAGCGGCGATGAAATCCTGATTCCTACAAATTTCAGTTTTTTCAGCAGGACATTGTCAAGATGAACTGAAACTATAAAAAAAAACAAAAATTAAAATGTGTAAGTTCATCATTCTATTGAGTATCTTATATTTTTCCTTTAAAAATCAGTATTTTGTAAAAAAATTCGGACATTACATCAGCCGATCCTGATTACAATTATGATTTGTATCAATATTTGGGATAATAATGAAAAAACAAAATTAAATTATGTATTGTGCCTATTTATGATGATGTGAAACTGCCGGAGCAAAATATCCGAATAGTTGAAACTTCTCGCTAAAAATTATTTTCGGGAGATCAAACTAACCATACGAAGAAGCTATTTTTTCGGGAAAAAAAGGGAGTCGTCTTGCTTATGTAACCGAAAGGATCTTAAGGCCATCCTCAGTTCAAAATTTCACAAAAATTTTACACAATCAAATTCAATATGTACTGGAAAGTTATTTTTCACAACTCAATTTAAGTGTATACGCATTATAATGTAACCATTCATTAGTAAATTGCTTTTTACGTAAATTCCCCATTTTTACGGGAACTTACTGTCAAGTCTGAAAATCTCTAAACCGTTCCCTCTATAATTTAGCGATTCATTTATGACGAGAAGCCGCTCGATAAAGTGAAAAGCAATACAATTCTCGGTTGAAATTTTAATGACTGCCATTCCAGAATTTTATGTTAAATAAATAGTGCGCCATATTGGCAACCGAATGTTTTTATTTAGAAATTAGCATTAATTAAATTAACAACGGATAGCAGTATTTTATAAACGCAACGATATTATTCGATCATGTAATAGTTATCCTTTATGACTTCATTTGTTTATTCACATTTATTAATGATATAGTAAGATGCCTAGCAACGAAGTAGTATCAGCAGGTACTTACTAAAAATGGAATAAAATATTTCGGTAATTTGATATTTATAAAAAATAAATGACGAAGTAGTTTCCAAAATTGTTTTATCGATCGTGTACTTGAAAGTAGCAATAAATACTGTACTTGCGTCACCTTAAGGTTGAACGATAGAATATACAAAGGTATTAATCAAATTAATAAAGAACAAGTGTACAAAAAACGACTTAAAAATATTTCCTATCTCGTGAAATATGTATGTTATCATTTGCGACTGAGCCACAATTTTCAATTTATAAGTTACTTATCAATAACACTACCTAAAGTCTGTGATTGACAGCATATCTTTATGCCACTCGTAAAATAAATTTTATTAGTATCTACTAAGTAGCAGGTAGCATGAAAATAAAAATTAAAGTTAGTACCTATACGCTGTACAGATACAACTATTTTCTCATAAAAAATGGACAAAATAATACTGACTGTCGTCATTTATAAATATTAATTGCCGAGACAGCTATAGTGAAACTTCTTTACGCACG